TGTCTAATTTCTTAAATTACAACATTTATATTTCCTCGCTAACTAGTAGTTAATAGATACTTAGGTAGCTAATGGATATCTAGGTGGTTAGGTTTGGTTAGATAATAGTTAATGGTAATGGTTGATACAAAGAGGTTTTTCACAGTTTACCTTCAGTTTGTTTTAAAGCATTATATTTTACGTTATTTTATAAACATTATTTTTAAGTTTATAAATTTAAATGAACTTTAAATAGGTATTATGTATTATATTAATTCTTTTGCTTGAAATCTTGAGCTAAAACTTGTATATTAAATGTTTATTTTTTTTTCTTGCTAAGTATGGTTGTATTTACCAAGTATTTTAACTATAATATTCATTAATATTGACTCCTTTCCAAGTTCTAATCAATAGAATTAAAATTGATTAGGTATAAGGTACAATTATTGCTTTATTTTTGTGTTAAATAGAAATCTAGTATTACTTTATTAATTACTTTAATTTTCATTATATTTCATATTAGAAGGTCTTCATTGTATTTTAAAGAACATTCAAACTGAAATGATAACTGCTCGTTTAACGAATGAGCGTATATTAAGCAAAATAAGTAGTTTAAAAAATGATGTAGCAAAATTGGCCCTCCATGTGTTACCTATAGGATTAACTTTTTCAAATGATGTGGAAGATAAACAGTTTTTAGACCAACTTCCATTTTCCAACTGGGAAAATGTTTTGGTTTGTGAAAGAGTACTTCAAACAAATAATGATGTGAAAGAGAAATTTGTATGTTGACTGTATTAATTATTATTTAATAAGCATATAAATTTAAATTAATTTAAGCGAACTTCTATTTTGTAGAAACATATGCTAAGTGTAGTTGGTGGTGTAGATGCAAAAACCAATATTAGACGCATTTTGAATAAATTATTTACAAATAAATTTGCTATCGAATGTTCATGGACAGGTAGAGCTTTTGAAAAAGATGTTAAAAAATATAAAGTTCAAAATTTACAAATTATTGTTGTTATGAGAAGTAAGTTATCTGAAAGCTTAGTGCTTATACAAAATTCAAAGTTGAAACAATACTAACATATTTTATATCAGGTGTTATCAAAAATCAGTATCCTCAAAATTCTGATGCACAATTTGAGTTAGACGTCCAAAGTTGGTTCAGAACTTCTAAGACAAGATATGATAGAGAAAATAAATAAAGAGTGTCATTCAAGATACTCATAAATTAAAAAAGTTATAGTTGTATTTACAGTCATAAGTGGAACTTGCAATTTTTTTTTCTTATATTTTGTTAAATTACATAAATCTTAAATTAAATTTAATAACTAATATTTATTAAAGGTAATAGGTACAATTGAAAAGTATTATCACTTCTACCATCAGTATTTTTTGATTACATGTAAATGTTATTAGTGTATTAAATTTTACATTGTTATTATAATTATTAAAATAAATAAAAAATATACTTGATAAGTGTGATTATTTCTTAGATTCATCAATATCTTGTAGGAGAGTCAAACATATTGGAAGCATTTCTAACCGCCAGTTTCAGAGGAGAATCAAAACTCAAATAGCACTATGTGAGTAACATTATGTTATTTTATTTTCAAAATTAATTGTTTCCAACATGATTATAATATAATATATTATTTTTTTTTTTTCATATGATCAAAATAGCATTAGTGAATACAATACCGGTTAAAAAGCCTTCCAATGAGCAAAATAATAAGCAACAATTCAATGAACAAACTAATTTAGAATCATTTAACAATGAACCAAAAGAGCCAGTTTTCCCTGCACAACTAATTCCAAACCATTTTAGAAAAATACCACTGTCTCCTTCTTTCCCATATGAGCCTATATCCACCACGACAAATTTGCAGTTAGCATCGACCATTACCAACAAAACGACAGAAAAAAAATCTTTATAGTTATGAAATAATGACCCCGAATTATCCGGACTCCGAACTCTAATATGCTTGCCATCAATGGCCAGAATGCAATTGGGAAAGTTCCACTTGTAACAAAATTCATTAGCTTTCTTTTTGAAGTCAACTTCACTTGGATCTGGTAAAAATATAGGTTTTAATTTTTTTTTCAAAATCAGTAACGTTTCCTTCACAATTCTGCTGATATATGTATGACATATTCGAAAACTAAACGATAACGAACGAAATTACTCACCGGTAGCCATGTACCTGTTAAAAAAATTTTTTCAGTGTATTATGCGTATAATATTACAAATTAAATGAGAATGATCTAAACATGTAGTTCTAAAGTTTTGTTATTAGAAGCATTATGTAGGTATACAATATACATTATAGTTACCGCAGTGTCAGTGATAGTTTTTCTGCTGCTGTAATCGGTTTTTTCACTCTGTTGCTGGGTGGCTTAGTTAGTTCAAACTTAACTAGGGATAATAAATAATCAAACTGTTGACGATTGACCCGAAAAAACTCACGAAATTTTGGTTCATTATTTAATAAATGTCTCTCAATTAAAATTTCAAAAAAACCTTCATTTGAACGACTTTGATATAAAATGTCAACTTTCTTTTTTTTTTGCATTCAAGTAGGAAAATAATAATTTTTCTTCCTCTTCTTCCTCCTCCAAAAAAAGCTGCACAATTTTATTGTTATTCACGATGTACGTATTGACCATATTGAATAATATTACAAACACCACACAGAATAAATAGGTCTCTACACTACGAGCTCTAAAACCACACTATTTTGACGAGCCGCAGCGACCAGTCGCCGGTGTTGAACAACAGGCAGACATCGGCGGCTGATCACCCCAGTAGTCGCAGCAGTAGCCGCGGCGGCTGGCCGCTGCGGCTAGCCGCGCCTTGGACACCGTACCTTAAAGGTACGGTTTCCTAGACGCGACCGGTCGCCGAGACAGGTCGCCGTCCGACTGTTAATATGTAATTCCTATTATCTGGTTTCCAACGCACGACTGTTGTCGCGCGACTGAACTTTATCGTGGCGACCGGCGACACTACAGGTACGGTGTCCAATGCGCGACCGGTCGCCGCGACCAGTTATAATTTTCAGTCGCTGATGACCGACTGGTGTCCAATGCGCGACCGATCGTAGTTAAAAGGTAGGTACTCGATTCTAAATTTCGTCAGTAGCACGCCGATGTCTATCTAAAGGTACGGTTTCCAAGGCGCGGCTGGTCGCGGCAGCCGATCGCAGCGACCAGCCGCGGCGACCGGCCGCTGCGATCTGACTGGTTTCCTAGGCATACATATATTGCCGCAGCTCTAAATATATTTTCTTTATTTTGTCAGTAATACTTTGCATTTTGTAAAGTAGAGACGTCGTCATCAGTATAAAGTGTTTTAATCATACAATTTCAGTATGTCTGAAGTAATGTGCGTTGTGAATAATAACAAAATTATATTAGATTTACTTGAAGAAGAAGAGGAAGAAGATCAGTTATTATTTTCTTATTTACTTCCAAATAAAAGGAAATCGACCAACATTTTATTTAAAAAACCGCGAGTTTGAAGGTTTTTTTGAAATATTGATCAATAGGCATTTATTAGAAAATGAAACTAAGTTTCGAGAGTTTTTCCGTATCAACTACGAACAGTTTAATTTTATATTATCTTTAGTTGAATTTGAACTTACAAAAGAACCTTCGAATAGAGTAAAAAATCCCATTTCTGCTGCAGAAAAATTAGCAATCACCTTGAGGTATGTATAAATCTGTTTAAAGTTATGTTTGAATGCAAGTAATTAAATATTATTTTTGTTAAAACTACGTAGTATGTTTTTTCTTAATTTCTATAGATATATGGCTACTGGTGAATCGTTTCGTTCGTTGTCTTTTGGGTTTCGAGTTAGTCATAGCTACATAAGTATAATTATTAAACAAACATTGACCGTTTTAAAATCAAAATTGGTTCCAATTTTTATGCCTAATCCGAATACTATCGATTTCAAAACAAAAGCTGCAGAATTCAGTTGCAAATGGAATTTCCCTAACTGTATTCTTGCAATTGATGGCAAACACATACGTATACGTAATCCAAGCAATTCTGGTTCTCTGTTTCACAACTATAAAGATTTTTTTTTCCATTGTTTTACTTGCTATGGTTGATGCGAACTATAAATTCATAGTGGTTGACATAGGTTCCTACGGAAAAGAAGGCGATAGTGGAATTTTCCTAAAGTCTATAATGGGTAAGCAAGTATTGGATGGATCCTTTTGTTTTCCAGAAGATAGTGTATTACCTGGATCTGACATAGTCGTACCACATGTGATTGTTGGTGATGAGGCTTTCAGACTGCACAACCATATTATGAAGCCATATACAAGAAAAGCGAGTAAAAACGATATAACAAAAAAAAATATTTAACTATAGACTCAGTCGAGCAAGACGAGTAACGGAAAACGCTTTTGGTTTATTAAGTCAAATTTTCAGGGTGTTTTACCAGCCAGTTAATATAGAAACATCAACCTGTGATAATCTGACTTGGGTAGCTTGTTGTCTACATAACATGTTGAGAGAAGGTTACTTAGAAAAAAACCACCGGACTTTCTATGATTATGATAAAGACCAATCGACACCAGTGGATAATATGTTATCATTATCTAGAGGTGGAGGATTTTCCAATATTGAAGGTTTCGAAGTAAGAGAACTTTTTAAAACCTACTTTAACCGTGAAGGATCAATACCATGGCAATTTTAATTACATTTATATTATTATTTTATTTGTATAAATACCAAAAATTTTGTTTGTACAATTAGGTTATTTTTAATTATTACATTTAAGTTAAGAGTTTTTTTTGTTTATATACATTTTTACACACATTTTTATTGTAAAAAAATTAAAAAACATATCAATTCCAAAAAAAAAAAAAATGTTTTACTTTTGCTTAAATCGTAATATTTTGTACAAGCATATAAATAAAAAATAAAATAAAATAAATAACAGGGTACTAAATAAACGGTTATTTTACAATTATTAATTAAACATAAATGCTTTGAAAACTTACTATTCAAAATTATAAGTCGTGTAGCCTTGAGAACTGTCCGATGCTGTATATGATGAGCTTGGTGTAGATGGCTGAATATGGTTGTCATCAAATACGTGCAATTGTTGAGTTGGATATGTTATGGCATGTTGCTGTGGTGTAGTACAGTAAGAATACTTTTCCTCGAGTTCACTCACCATTGTTAATGCTTTTAATTTTGCCTCAATTATACCTTTAGGTGGTAATTTTTTTACGGTCATTGCTAAGCTTTTAAAAAATAAATCTACTTCATCTTCGCTGTTTTTGGCATTTAAAATGTCTTCGTTTTGTTTTTGAATTTTTTCTAATAATTGTTTACGCTCTGCCGTTCTTTTTGCCAACATCACCGCCATTTTATCTTTATTTGACCTTATACGCTGTCCAGCATACGAGAATCCTTCATTCGTGTTTGCAGTTTTTTCTTCTTGTATAGCTTCAATTGATTCTTCATCTTCTTCATGTGAAAAACTTTCATCTATCATGGTCGCATTCGAAGAAGAACTAAATATTAAATATTTAAAATTAACAAATTATTGCTATATTTGTATATTATATATTTTTATTTCTATTATTGTTATTAAATGTATATAATAAATACCTTCGTTCACACTCTACTCCATCAAGAAACGAAATATGTGCTGCCAAAGGCCATTTTTTTTTCGATGTTCTAGCTGAACCTGTGCCCAATTTACGTTTGTTTCGGTTGTACGTATCCCTTATGTTTTTCCACCGTTTTTTACATTCATCTCCTATTATATAAATATGTATACTTTATAATTTTATTTACATAAATTTGTACAACATTTGTCAGCATATCTTTTAAATTTAGTATTAATGTTGTGTTATCTTTTGATAATCTCGCTTCTATACACACCAAGTATAAATAAATACAGTCAATAGATAGACAGTGTTTATTTTTAAATCAAACATTCTGTAGATGGTTTATAAAACTATTATTTTTATAAAATAATAGAACTATAATAAAATAATTTAAGTTACTTACCAGATTTACCAATTTTCAAGCCAATATCTTTCCAAATCTCATCTTTCAGAATTATATCTTTGTGCTTTGAATCAGCGCTGTCGTATAAAATCGGATTTTTCCGAACGGATTCAATAAGAATTTCCTCGTGTTCCGGCAAAAATATTACTTTCGACATTATAAATATTTTATACTTTTAATGCTAGTTAATAATATCACAGCTATATATTTATAATATTTGAAAATACTTTGAATACTAGACAAACTAGACAACAACAAAGTATTAAAATTATTTAATGAAAACTAAATTTTTGATAATAGCCGCCAGCGACTGTCGCGATACACTGCTTTCGTCGCGGTCAAGTCACCGGCCGTCGCGGCTCAAGTTCAGTCGCGAGCCGCAGCCGCGCTTTGGAAACCAGTCAATAGGGATAACGTGTAAATATTTTTGCTGCGACAGCCGCGGCGATCGGCCGCCGCGACCAGCCGCGCCTTGGAAACCGTACCTTAATTGTTGGGTATATATATACAATAATGAATAAAGTAGTGATGGGAATAATCGAATGATTTTAATAATCGAATGATTAGTAATCGAAAAAAAAAATAATCGAATAATCGAATGATTAGTAGTCGAAAAAAAAATAATCGAATAATCGAATGATTAGTATTCGAAAACAAAATAGTCGAATGTTATAAAAATAAATAATAATACAATACATGGACATTGGACAGACACATTCTTAATTTAGTACCCAATGACTTAAATCTAAGTATAACAACAAAGGAAAGTAAACATTACAAATTACAATTCATTAGAAACCAGAAATAGAAATAAACCCATACACTAGAGTAGTAGACTATTATTATTTAATATTATTCAACATCAAACTGTTCATTTTATCATTTACTAGATTCGAGTAAGTTTAACGGACTGATTTTAGTATTTAATAAGTACTGACTATAGAGTATTTTAAGTTAAATTTTTGTCATGGCACCTAATAAAAGGTCAATAGTGTGGGAGTATTTTCAAAAATCTTCCGAAAAATGCGTTGTTTGTAAGATATGTAAAAAGGAATTTAAATATCACAGCAATACTACTAATTTGAAAGGTAAGATTTAGATATTGTACTTGGGGAATATTGTTATTTATGTAAATCAGATTATTTGTATTTAAAAAATTGAAAGGAAACGGGCTAATCTCTACTATGACACAATTATTTTCATATAGTTTATTATAAATTATTGCCACTTTTTATCAAAAATAATTATTTTCAATATTTTTTTTTATTTTAAGAACATCTGAAACGAATACATCCGGTGTATCTTAATCCCACGTTAGAAATAGATGAAAACTTAGAATCGGGATTATCAGCAGGACCTTCTAATGCATTATCAGAATCATCTAACATAAGCAATCAACCCCGTTCTTCAGGTTCTTCTCCTATATCCAAACGTTCGCGTCAATTAAAGTTATACGGTTCAACAAGAGGCAATGAATTAACAGAAGATGAAAAAATATCTATAGACAAGAGTTTAATTAAAATGATTGTGAATGACTATCAACCACTGTCATTAGTTGAAAACACTGGTTTTTTAGAATTTACTAAAAAATTACAGCCCTTGTACAAGCCACCTAGTAGGAAAACACTAACCACCAAATTAATACCGGATGAATATAACAAAATTGTTGCTACACTTAAATCTATGTTGGAAAATATTTCCGACTTATCTATTACAACAGACATGTGGACTTCCGATAGTAATTGTTGTGTGAAATTAATGAAATAACTCACATTAAAATGTTCTTGGTTATTTTATTATAACGAGAGAGTCACGCATAGACAACAAATTAGTGGACTGTATGTTCGATGATTGAACGGTGATCAATCTTTATCGGCAGCGGTCGGTACTCCAATACGCTGATATCATAATAATCAAATAATTACTATTTATTTAAATCGTCGATGATATCTATCGCGATAAGATCGAACATACCGCCCACCTTGAAATCACACATTGTGCTGTTTCAATATAAAGAATATAATTTACATGGTAATAATAATAATACTACACAATAAACAATTCGATATAATAATAAACTTGTTCTTACGTGACTGTATAAACTAAATGTTGTACTACATACTACAGCAGATAGATAATAAATATAAATATTCACAGTAGAAATAGAAATTCTAAATTTACAACAATTAAAATACCACAACAATCAGGTAATCGAAGGATTAAAGATTGAACAATATATAAATCGAAACTGAATAAGTATATAAATATAAATGGTAACAGTTACACTGTGGAACAGGTCACGTCAACTTAACATTCCCTCGAAAGGTAAAGGACACAGTATCCTTAATGCGTCAGTTTGAAAACACCTTCGTTAGTACGTACGGTGGTTACCGTATGACTCATCTGAATCCTTGTGGGTTTCTATGACTCGACCAATCTTCCAATGTAGTGAGGTGTTTGTCATCACGGAGCAGAACAATAGTATTAGTAGAGAGAGAAGGACCTCTTGAATGACAATCATTGTCCCGGCATTTGTAGTTGATTTAGGTACTGTGCTTCCAACGACGCCAAAGTTGTTGGTGAGCTGAGCACCTTTCCACCTTGTCAATCTGTTCGGGGCGTGGTAGATACATCAATGCCCGCAACGCGGATAAATTATCACCAATCAAAATGACTAGGTGTGAGAACCGTGAGATCTGCAGGATCGGTGGATATCGGAGTGAGAGGGCGGAATTTAAGATAGCCTCATCGCACAAGCACACAGTATATAGCCTTCCTTCATATGTTAGAGCTGCGTTGCCTAATGTCTTATATATGTGATTTAACGACTTAACTGAGGCTTCCCAAAAGTCCGCCAAAATAAGATCGGGGCGAATAAATGCCAGTTTACCTGATCTTGTTAAGTGCAATTTGCATTTAGTTTTGATGATCACCAGATGTACTAGCTGTTTTAACTCTTGTGTGTCGATTAGCGCCGGACAAAATTTGTCGCATTATCGGAGTATATGTCGCTACAGACACCACGTCGATCAAAATCGGCTAAGCGCGCTTAAAAGGCTTCCAGAAGTTAGGCCACCTACTACCTGATATGAATAGCTTTAGTTACAGCACACCCACACACGCAAATATATGCCTTATTAGTTGCCGCCTTGCGACGTAAGCTCGATTTCACGTATACAGGTCCAGCAAAGTCTACACCGCATTTTGCAAAGGCTCTAGCAGAATTCCACACGATTCAGGTAGGTCGCCCATGATCGGTTGAACGAATTGTTGGCTTGTACTTGAAACATTTTTACACATCGTTGAACAACCGCTCTGGCAATACATGACCGTTTAAAGGCCAATACCAAGACGTATACGCGCTAATATCGATTGCGGTCCGCCGTGCATAGACTTGTCGTGTTCGCTGGAAAATATTGAACGCGTAAACCGGACTGGGTTAGCTGGTGTAGTACCAATACGGGTGCCTTTGAAAAATGTCTATACTTGAATTTTTAGCCTACCACCCACGCGAATGACGTGATTTTCATCTAAAACGGTTTAAGACGTGCATTAATGGACTATTATTTTTATTGGTAATGACTTCACAACATTTAATTCATTATACCATGCGTTCGATTGTACCTAATTCTAACTATGCAGGTAGTAGCATATTCAGTTCGTCGAAAGAAGACTTTACCAACTTTCTTAGAGTTCGGCTTTGCATTATTTTTGAATCGCAAACAATAGGCGATAACCTTACCAGCTTCGGACAGTGTAGAATATTTGTTCAAAATGAAGCATCACGTGGTCGACATAATTATTTTAGTTACGGTTTTCACATACTATCTCACCCAGACGCAATTTGTTTTCGGCCAATTTGATTTTTCGCTGTAACCATTCTGGCCGTTCCACCATAATTTGAGTCGATATTTGTACGATGAAATACCCACGAGAAACAATATCTGCGGATTTTCATTGCATTTACGTGTTTCCACAGATAGGAGCGATAGTTTTGTATCACCACCGACACCTACGAAAGTTTCCACCCGACGACGGTGATGAACAAAGGCATACCTGTGAGTCGTCCAATAATGTTTGCCTATGCGTAATTGCAGACACATGGCTTTGCTGATAAACGCCAATAATAAAGCATAATACCCAACGCAGAAAAGACTTACCGGCGCCACTGCATTTTATACAAATTGCTTATTTGTCGTTAGTCGTACGTAAATAGAACACGCGCCGCCGCGCTTATAGAGCATCTGAAACGTATTTGGTACATACACAATTTTCAGAATTACCATAAACGACACTGTTAATGAATTTATTTGTTCTAAATTTATCGATTTTCCGCCATTCAACAATGACGTAAAATTTTCCACCTATATTCACTGCTGGCAATTTTGCATACCACTTAAGCGCAACATCCCACATTGCGCCCAGAGGTTTGTTCGAGGCTATTTTATACATTACGTTTTACCTATAGCGCTGTGCTACTTACCATATATTGCAGCCGTTTTCGTTCCGCCATCGGCTGCAACCTTTCTTCGTACTATTACTGTTACCAAGCGTTTCTGTGGACTATGTCTATTTTAGATACGCAACAGTCGTCATGTTACTGGCCCATTTACGGGCTCTAACCAGCGTTTAAATGCACAATGCCGCTGGCCGCGTAACTGTTCATTGATATGGCG